CTTCTCTATTAGATTTCATGTTTTGAATACTGTAATGTTATAACGTTATTTCGTCTCGTTTAAATGTTCAAAAAAGCAGCTATTATATAATATCCATTTCTAATGTCGCAAACTAGACTAAATGTCATCAGCTTTCGTCGACTAAACTAGACTAAATGCCATCAGTTTTCGTCGACTAAAACTAGACTAAAATGCTCAGACTTTTAGTTGACTAAAACAATCTTTCCACCACCAAGGCTACTCATTTTCAGAATCATCTCCTGCTGCTTATTTACTGCTGAAATTAGAATTCATCTGTTATTCAGTAATTTAGCATATTTTTTTCCCCATTTTCTTCTCCTTTGCTTTAGTTACCTGAACTGGATGAAAGTGACCTTTATCATTACTAAGCGTAATAATGACTTTCCACTCTTCCTGTTTGTCATCATCAAACCTACTGCTTCCACTAGGTTTAGCTCTGATCTTTTTGATCGTTTGTCTTGGTGTACTCTCTCCTCCACTACTCGCTTCAGACCATGCTTTTTTTTCTTGCCTTTTTAGTTCGGTTAACCTCCATATCTGAAGGCCACCCATCATCATCACCATCTGAATCATAACCCATTGCTACAATCCACCATCTCTTCCAACACGAAGTTCAGTCATCCAGTCCACACTCCTCATCTGTCGCAACTCAGCACCACAGACTTGACTTCTTCTTGTACGATTTTATGGCGGTTGACAAGCCAACTTATGGTGTATTACCGCCACCAACTGGACTGGAGTGTGAAGCAGTCTCTTCCAACACGAAGTTCAGTCATCCAGTCCACACTCCTCATCTGTCGCAACTCAGCACCACAGACTTGACTTGGCAACATGAGGGCTACTTATACCAAACACTAAGGGTCACATGACAAGAATCAACCAATGAGCAAACAGAACTGAGAACCATATGACAGTACCAATCTACCAATCTACCAATGAGGAACAAGACACATGACTTGAACAACCAATCACAACATGACACATACACAGGGCAGAAATACTTGAGGGCAAGGGAAGCATGACACCAACAGCATGAATCAAATTACAAAATAAAAGACATGAAAACAAGAACATGAAACAAAACCCAAAACAGACATTACAAGTCGGTGGAAAGCAACTGCACAATCCTACACAGCCACCTTGCCGTCGCGAGAGTTTTTTGGCACACGTCAGCATGACATCAGAGCAAGTCGGACGTAACTCGGACACTTTTCTAACCGCCATGCATCTCACGGTGATCGGTTCTGCGCAGATTTTGCTTATCTCAAACAAGCCTAATGCTTGTTTTTACACCAGCGGAGCCGCAGCACGTTTCAGAAGCGTCCCAGAGGCGGCTCTCAGCACTAAAGATATGCGCCTCGCCTTTTTCTGAAGGTAAGAGTGTGCACTCGAATATGCTCTAGAACCACTCTCGCGATACTATGATGTCATACACCGATCAGTCTGCGCAGCGCTGCTTCAAGTTGAACACACCTATTGGGTTTGTGGTGTTGTTGTTGTGCGTGCTAGGGAACGTATATCCGCCATACGTCATCGCGTCGCTATATCATTGATATCGCGAAATTACACTTTTTTTTATCATGTACAAATTTATACCAGTATTATCGTGGATGGTATGATATGGCACACCCCTAGACTGCACTATAGATCCCCTGTGGAACAATTCCACTCATTCTCTGCTATAGGAGAAGAAGTATTGTACTGTATAATTTTGTTAAATCATCTAAACCAACAACATGTATGTTAGACCCTATTCCATCTAAGCTACTAAAAGAGGTGCTTCCAGAAGTCATAGATCCTCTTCTAAATATTATTAATTCATCATTGTCATTAGGATATGTCCCAAAAACTTTCAAACAGGCTGTAATTAAGCCTCTTATTAAAAAAACAAAACTTGATCCTAGAGAATTCGTTAATTACAGACCAATCTCAAATCTCCCTTTTCTGTCAATGATACAAGAAAAGGCAGTATCCTCAGAACTATGTTCCTTCTTAGAGAAAAATGGTATCTGTGAGGATTTCCAGTCAGAATTTAGACCGTATCATAGTATTGAGACTGCTCTCATCAGAGTTACAAATGGCCTGCTCTTATTATCCGATCATGGTTATATCTCTCTATTAGTGCTACCGTATCTTAGACCTGTGTTCAACACTATTGACCACAACATTCTGTGAAATGGCTAGAGAATTATGTTGGCATTAGTGGAATTGCATTGGCTTGGTTCAAATCATTCTTATCTGACTGTGATCAATTCGTAGCAGTGAATGATCAGGTATCATATTGATCACAAGTACAGTTTGGAGTCCCACAAGACTCAGTACTAGGACCGTTGCTTTTCATGCTTTACATGTTACCCTTAGGAGTCATCATCAGGAAACATGGTGTTAGCTTTCACTGTTATGCTGATGATACTCAGCTCTATATTTCTTTGCGGCCCGACGAAACATACCAATTTGAAAAACTAGCGGAATGCATAGTCGATATAAAAAACTGGATGATGAGTAATTTCTTACTGCTAAATTCTAAAATAACATAGCTGTTAATGATAGGACCTAAAAACTCTGCATATAATAACCTAGAACACTCTCTAACACTTGATGGCTGCTCTGTCAATTCTTCGTCATCAGTTAGGAACCTAGGTGTACTATTTGATAGCAATCTTTCGTTAGAAAGCCACGTTTCTAGCATTTGTAAAACTGCATTTTTCCATCTCAAAAATATATCTAAATTACGACCTATGCTCTCAATGTCAAATGCAGAAATGTTAAACCATGCGTTTATGACCTCAAGGTTAGATTATTGTAATGCTTTATTGGGTGGTTGTTCTGCACGCTTAATAAACAAACTCCAGCTGGTCCAAAATGCAGCAGCTAGAGTTCTTACTAGAACCAGAAAGTATGACCATATTAGCCCGGTTCTGTCAACACTGCACTGGCTACCTATTAAACATCGTATAGATTTTAAAATCTTGCAAATTACTTATAAAGCCCTGAATGGTTTAGCACCTCAGCATTTGAACAAGCTCTTATTGCATTATAGTCCTACTCAGCTCTATATTTCTTTGCGGCCCGACGAAGCATACCAATTTGAAAAACCAACAGAATGCATAGTTGATATAAAAAACTGGATGACTAGGAATTTCCTACTGCTAAATTCCGAAAAACAAATTGTAAATTTTTTAATTTAGGTGTTAATTATCGGACCAAAAACCTCTGCATGTAATATTCTAGAACACTGTCTAACACTTGATGGCTGCTCTGTGAATTCTTCATCATCAGTTAGGAACCTAGTGTGAACCTAGGAACCATCTGTGCTATTTGATAGCAATCTTTGCTTTGAAAGCCATGTCTCTAGCATTTGTAAAATCGCATTTCTCCATCTTAAAAAATATCTAAATTACGACCTATGCTCTCAATGTCAAATGCAGAAACGTTAATTCATGCGTTCATGACCTCAAGGTTAGATTATTGTAATGCTTTATAGGGTGGTTGCTCTGCGCACTTAATAAACAAACTGCAGCTGATCCAAAATGCAGCAGTTAGAGTTTTTACTAGAACCAGGAAGTACGACCATATTAGCCCGGTTATGTCAACACTGCACTGGCTCCCTATTAAACATTGTATACATTTTAAAATCTTGCTAATTACTTATAAAGCCCTCAATGGTATAGCTCCCCTGTACTTGAGCGAGCTCTTATCGCATTATAGTCCTTCACGTCCACAGCGATCTCAAATCTATGGCCATTTGATTATACCTAGAATGTCAAACTCAACTGCGGGCGGCAGATCCTTTTCCTATTTAGCACCCAAAATCTGGAACAATCTACCAAACATTGTTCGGGAGGCAGACACACTCTTGTCAGTTTAAATCTACATTAAAGACCCATCTCTTTAACCTGGCTTACAGATAACACACTATCACATTTCTATAATTCAAATCCGTTAAAGGATTGTTAGGCTGCATTAATTAGGTCAACCAGAACCGGGAACACTTCCCATAACACCCGATGTACTTGTTACATCCTAAGAAGAATGGCATCTATGCTAATATTAGTCTCTTTCATTCTTATTCCGAGGTCACCGTAGCCACCCAGATCCAGTCTGTTTCCAGATCAGATGGCCACTGCAGTCACCCGGATCCACCATCTGGTCTGGATATGGACTGGATCAGCACCTACGTAGAAATTACCTTGACAGCTCTGAATGTCAGCAGAGACCATGCTAACAAGAATAAGCCCTAGAGACAGATCCCCTGCGAAGACCTCGTCACCTCGACAGCCATCGGCACAGACCACGGGAACCAGATGAGTTTTCTGCACATTTCTGACTTGTGTTGCAGCCTGGAATTAAACCACGCTATGCTGGTTTCGTTTGGCCAGAGGAGAACTGGCCCCCGACTGAGTCTGGTTTCTCCCAAGGTTTTTTTTTTCTCCATTCTGACACCGATAGAGTTTTGGTTCCTTGCCACTGTCGCCTTTGGCTTGCTTAGGTGGGGACACCTAATTTCTGGCATTACTGTCGACTTGATTGCACAGATACTATTTGAACTGAACTGAGCTGGACGATGACATCACTGAATAAATGATGAACTGACTTTAACTGGAAAATTGAGTGATTTCTATCGTCCTCTTGCATTATCGACAAACTACTTTCCTGTTTAATGCTGTAATGCTGCTTTGACACAATCTGTATTGTATAAAGCGCTATATAAATATAGACTTAGTATAGAAAATAGAAATAGTGACTTGACTTGACTTACATATCATGGCCTATGTTCAGGCTGACCATCAGGGCATAATGGACCAAAAACAAAATCACTGAGGAACTTATACTGTAATTAAATCCATTCTAAATCTATACCCCCAATTTCAGTCAGAAACACAACTGTTATATTTAGATGTTGGTGATTAAAAATAAAAAAAAAACTTAAAAGGTGCCTATAATCCTCAAAAACAGCCTCTACAGTTGGCTACTTTTACCTGAGATTCGTGCAGATCCACCCCTGATGTAAAGGGGTGGAGCTTGGAAGGCATAGATGATGTCACTCTCTGCAATGCTGGTCAAGTCATCGCCATCAAAGAACGAGCGCTGGAAACCTGTTGTGTAGATCTCTGTCAATATTACCTAAAAGAACAGATAATTTAAAAGTTGAAATTATTGCAATTATTGCAGTTATTATTATCATTAAAGATAAAGATAAAACGAAATATTTATATTTAAAACACATCTCACATTTGATGTATCAAACAATTTACAATTAATAATACCAATAATTTCTGTTACATTTTAGATATTAAATAATAACTAACAATAAAATAATCTTCTTATAAAGCATAGAATTGCATCTAAATTACAAACAAGTACCATGGTATTATTCTGAGTACCATGCAAATACCATAGCATATAATCTTTCGGTATCATGGCATATAAATTCAACAGTATTACCATTTGACACAATCACAGTAGCAATGCAGGAGGGAAGGTGGTTTGGTCAGGTGATATATTGTGTGCAGGCATGAGGTCTGTCTGTGTGATGCTGTGTACACCTGTCACCTGATCAGGAGAGATCTTGCCCTCATCTGCCACCATCCGGCGCAGACATGCCAAAGAGCCAAAGAGAGGCACAGCGAGCCCCACTCTCAGATACCGCTGTCCTTTACTGCTAAACACCAAAGTCACACACACTGGTCTGCAGAGAGATAGGAAAATGCATCTTTTATGATCTAAAAGGAGCTTTTAAATTTAAAATATTACTGAAAGCAATAAAGGGCATCTAGAAATCTCAAACAATCTCTGTGAAGGGCTACAAAAGCTAGTGGGTGGGTGTGGCTTCAGCAGGTGGGTGTGGCTAAAGAATGAATCTGACTGGTCACTAAGTTACGCATTTAACCCCTGTTGGTATCTATTCAAAAGCAGCTGTGTATTTTGACTGTGCAATATACACTAACATTCAAAAGTTTGGGGTGTGTAAGATCTAATATGCTGATTTGCTGCTCAAAAAACATTTCTTATTATCATGAATGTTGAAAACAGTTGTGCTGTAATATATTTTAGTGGAAACCATGATCCTTTTTTCGTGACTCAAAAGAACAGCATTTATTTGAAACAGAAATCTTTTGTAACAATATAAATGTCTTCCCTGTTACTTTTGATTAATTAAAGCCTTTTTGCTGAATAAAAGTACTAATTTTGTTAAAAAAAAAATATTACTGACCCCAAACTTTTGAACTCTATATAGCTCTTCCTAAAGTGATGTCATCTTCTCCGAAGTGACATCATCTACTACTGTACCATTATTTATACTGTCATCTAGTTCTCCTCCACTATTACAACCCTGCTGATATATGACCTAAAGCCTGAAAACGCCCTTCTCAGACATAAACTACTGTGAATAAGGGTGGTGTTGTGGTAAATGCTGCAGGATTTGCCGGAAGAAATAAGGCAATCGGTCATGTAAAAAGTGCCACACCTCAAACAGGTTACTTTCCTTTTAACTGGTCATGTGTTCTGCCCTAAAGGAATAGTTCAACCAAAAATGAAGACTGTATCATCATGAAACCTGTATGACTGCCTTTATTTCTTGGAACACAAAAAGAGAAATACTGTATATAGCAGAATGTCCAAGCTGAAGCTAATTTTCAGTGAAGAAAACCTTAGTTTCAGTCTGTTCCTCACACAAAGTTATTATATGGCTTTAGAAGACTTGGAATGTAGCGCATAAGTCTTGGTTAACTACTGGGTAAATGTGTAGGTCTATATTACCATATAAGATGCGCTTTAGGTGACCTTTATTTAAGGCTATTGTATTCATTAGGATATTGACATAAGAACTGTTTTTGTCAAGTTTCAAACTTCCTTTAAACCAATATAAAATTTCATACCGGTATCATCCCTCCTGACCAGTATAACCGGTATTACCATATATCATTGCAAAGGTGGTTCATATAAACATGTACATTCAGAAATATTTTATCTGACATTATAGCGTGTGGGACAGTAGTTTTGCATTTGTGAACATGAGGGTGGTCCTTTCCTCCAAAAAAAGGATTTTCCTGGCAATCCATCTGCTGCTGCTGGTTTGAATGCTTCATTGTTTTTGAGTACAGAGAGGCTAAAACTGTTAGAATACACCCACAACAAGGAAAACAATTACGCTTTTGCATGAATCAATGACTTCAAAAGGTTTTAGTTTGGTACAATTGTACTCACCTCGTCTGTCTTAGAGGTATGGGGAGGGAAATGCACAGAAAAGGATCAAACGTGTTGCTCTGCTTAAGACAATGTGGGCATGTCAGAGATGACCTGGAAAAAAAAGACAGGAAAAAAGATGGTTTCTTCCGAGTAGGCAAGGGAGGCAGTGTCTCCTCAAAATAAAACAATGCCAATATTACAAAATATAAAATTAAAAAGTGTATAAATCACTAATTTTTCTAAAGAAACATTGTCCAACAGCGAAACCAGCAGGTAAAGTTACAGCGGGAGTCCACGTCTCTCTTGCCTCCCCTGAGCCCATTGAGTTTTAACAGACCCCCTAAAGTATGCGGAGAGTTTGGTGGGGGGTAATTGAGATGAATGGGGGGAAATCATGTGAGAGGAGACAATGCCTCCATCGCGATATGATTGGATCTGACTTGTTATGTTAGGCTGTGATTGGTTCATGCGATAAATCCCGCCTCTTGTGTTCGTGCACGTTCTGCATTCGTGAATCAGTCTGAATGAACAATATGGCATTAATGGGAAGACTCATTTAAAAAAGTAAGTAAACAACTCACACACTTAGATAAATAATCACTTTGTTACATCAAAATGAGACTTAATATGGCCTGAAAACATGATGTGTGGGAGTTTTTAGTGAGTAATCAGCTTGGTGAATGTGACGAGAGGGGCGGGGCCGAGAGCCATAGGAACGGAGCGAGGCCGGTGGAGTAATTGCTAATGCGCGACACCCATATTATATAATACACAATCATGCTATTAGCCACTGTATTGCTTGAATGAGCCTCAAGGGATGTTCAGAGGAAGTGATGTCACAGGGAAGAGGAAGCACACAACATCTTTTGGGAAGAATTATTGTTGTAGCTACGGAAACTGATGCTCACAAAATCACAATTGCTGTTTTTTGCATCATCCTTGCCACTCATTTACAGAATGATTTTAAACTCACTACATAGACTTGTTCAGAACCTGTATGGTTTTGATGATGATCTATCTATCTATATCTATCTATCTATCTATCTATCTATCTCTGTCTGTCTATCTATGTATTTGTCTGTCTATAATTAAGGTAAATTTTGATATACAGTTTATCTACAGTTAAATCTATTCTTCTTAGAGTATCTACAACACTCATAAATACGAATGCTTTTTTAATTTAAACAATTCATCTTCTCCCTGCGGGCACTTGCCAGGTCAGTGAGGTGGAGACACAAATAAAGAGAGGTGGCTCGAGATAATTTTAGAGTGTTAAGGAAAGCCCTGTTCATCTCAAGCAGCTGTCAGAGTCTTATGTGGAGACTTCAGCATTTGAACTCTGAGCTCTTCGGGCTGCAGTTCGCCCACATGTCTTACTACTGAAGACAAACAATGCAGCAGCAGCGCTCCACTTACACAGAATAAGACAACCTGATCCAAGTCTGTGCGGATAGTAAAATTGCAGGTATTAGAACCCAAATGATCTCAGTCACTATAATTTTAAATCTTGTGTTGTTGCTGTCATCAAAAAGAAACAATGCATTGAGCCAGAAATTAGATGAGAATGTATCAGATGATACTAAAAGCAAAAAGCTATTCCATTGCCAGATGATGAGATCATTTTTATAATAAACACATTTAAAACAATTCTTAAAAGGGGTGAGCATACACAGACTTTTAAAATGACTGTTTTAGGGGGAGCATAAAAGTAATCCGATAATCACAATCCTAAACTATAGTTTGTAGATTGTGTTTGGTTCACTAAAAGAGTCATTCTTTAGGGAATCTGTTGGACTACATTGTTTGAGCTGTATAATTTACTAAAGAGAACCAATTCATAAGGATAATTTACTTGGGAATTGGATACTAGTTGCTCTGTATGTTTTTGATTCACTAAAAAGATCCGTCTCACAAGAGGCATTCATTTGGGAGTTAGACTATACTGGTCGTTCTGTTTCTGCATACTAGCGTACTATACTTGTACCATATATTTCCATGGCAGAAATACTACGAGTAGTATGCTAGTATGTGGTTCCAAATTGAGCATGTATGCTTGATTCACTAAAAAGATTCAGCACATAACAGTCATCGCTGTATGTTTCGTCTGTCATTCAGTACGCTGTATCGTTCACATCGGTAGAAGAACGCAAGAACAAGAAGCATTAACTAGGGATGTAGCGATTCAGTCAACTCACGCTTCGATTCGATTCACGATTTTGATTTCACGATTTGATTCGATTCACGATTTTTTTTTAACAAAATGAGATTTAAGACAAATAAATTAAATGGGTCCTTTTATTATTGGTTGGACAAAATACTGTACGCTTCTTTGTGAAATTGAAATACAACACTATAATAACATACTAATATAGCACTTGTAAATTACTGCTCTTTGGTTGGTTTTGATAGCTTCTATTGGTCCTCATCTGTAAGTCGCTTTGGATAAAAGCGTTTGCTAAATAACAAAATTTTTATATAATGTAAATGTAAATAACAAAACTAAATTGAAATTTTAAAACAAGCCCCAAATCAAATAAATAACACAAATAAAAGAAAACTATTCATATAAACAAACTAAGGCTTTGTCTGTGCTCTTTCCATTTAAAATTAGAGGCAACCACTGCATTTTAATCACGATCCAAACAAAGATGCTGCATACATGCAACATGAGCAATTTTTAATATAAATTAGATTGTATAATTTCGAAATCTGAAGCAAAAACAGAATGGTCTGACTTCAGTCTCAACCGATTTGAATCGTCACATATTTAAATCGATTTTCAACCAGCTCGCGGTTAATCGTTACATCCCTAGCATTAATGGAACCCAATGTCATTGTTTTTCTGTATTTTTAATAGGGCTGAATAAGAACCGTTTCTCGATTCTCCAACACTATCTGCCACTGTATTTGCCAAATCCCATCTGCTAAGCAGAACATGAACATACCATGTCTCAAAATAACTGAGTGCTCCATTACAGATGAAGAATATGCAAATATGTTTAATTAATACAAAGTGGCCTATGATAATAAACTTCCCAGACAAAGAGGTCATCAAATGGATTATTCATCTCAACCGGACAACAAAACCAGTCTTAAGTCGCTTGGGTATATTTTTAGCAATAGCCTAAAAATACATGGTATGGTTCAAAAGGATACATTTTTCTTTTATGCCAAAAATCATTAGGATATTAAGTAAAGATCCTGTTCCATGAAGATATTTTGTAAATTTTCTACCGTAAATATATCAAAACTTAATTTTTGATTAGCAATATGCATTGCTAAGAATTTCATTTGGACAACTTTAAAGGCAACTTTATTTTGATTTTTTTTGCACCCTCAGATTCCAGATTTTTAAATAGTTGTATCTCGGCCAAATATTGTCCTAACAAACCATACATCAATGGAAAGCTTATTTATTCTGCTTTCAGATGATGTATAAATCTCAATTTCAAAAAATTGTCACTTATGACTGGTTTTGTGGTCCAGGGTTATTATTATATATTATATATAATTAAATATATAATTAAAGATATATATATATAATTATAATATAATTATAGACAAAGAAATATATAAATTAATTTATAATTTATAATTTAAAGACAGTAGCCTGTCTTTAATTGCCATTCTTTGTAAATTGTTGTTTGCATTGCACAGATACATCAAGCATGTCTATTTCTTTGAACATAGAATATATTTCTTTGTAATGGAGTATAGCGTACTGTTTACTGCATGCTGTAAAGTATATAATGTGTAAACCTCCCCTAAAACCTAAAAAAATTGTTTTAGTATTCAACAGGGCAAAACAGTTACAAAATATATACATATATATATCATCTAATAGATATGCCTCTTAAAATTTACAAAAAACAAAACAAATCAGCCATATAGGCTTAACATTACATCAGTTATCTTTTTCAATAACAGAGATGCCTTTACTGTTTACTGTTATTCTTTGTAGAAAAAAATCATTAAAAAAATGTGGAAAACAGTCTAATACTTGGTACAACTGAAATATATTTGACTTTATGTACAGTATGTGATATTTTATAAACAGAGGACAGATACACTTTTTTTTTAGTCAAGAACTTTTCAATATACTGTACATTATTACATTTTTTATCCCTTATGTCAGTGACCCCAGTAGTAAGACCTGGAAGAGAGCCAATTACAGGTTTATACATCTTTTTATGTTTAATAAGTATATAGTAGTTTTGAGGAAATGCTATCAAATTTTAAATATTCTTTTTTTTAGACATTCATTTAAACATTATGTGATTTAGATTGCATTACGCAACTGCAAAGTTTGTCACATAACCTCATCACATTGCATGCTTAATTTAACAAATGCCATTAATAAATGCTTATCATTTTGGAAATATAAAGTGTTATATTTAGCATTTTTAGCTGAAATTTGTGTAAACAATTTTAACTCTTGGCAGTCAAATAATGAGCCAGGAAAGAGATTTAAAAATGATTTGAAATAATTTTTATTATTTAATTATTTATATTGTTTCCTGTTCACTGGTCACACTGTTCACTGAAAGGTCGGCTTGTGTCAACTGCATTGTGGGCTATAATACCCAGTGCAGTGTGCTCTGTTGTATACTGCTCATTGTAGCAAATTTTAGTGTAATTAGTATCATACCATACTGTAATATTAGTTTTTTTGTATTGAAAATTAGGAGTTATTATTAGTGCAAACAAACAAGCAAATACACCCTTCTGAAATAATCTGTCTCCCTCATATAGCTCAATATTTACTTGTATCCTGACAACAGAAGAAGCTAGCTAAATATTTGGAAGACGTTGATGTGAATTACATTCGCGCCATGATCTGCATTAGTATGAAGGCCAGTTGAGTGGGAGTCATTTAAATTCCACACAGGGCCTGTCGCTGTATACAGCGCAATGAATCTGTGGCTTTTAAAGCTTCTCTCCTCCTATGCTGCAGCTGAAGCACTTTCAGTCATTTCTTCCACAAACTCTCAGAACCCAAGGCGTACCTCTGGGCTTCGGGATAAAAGTGACTATGGGATGATACTGTACCACCTAACTAGCATCAGAGAGAGACGGTTTGGCCTGAACTTCCTTGTAATTACCGGAAATCT